AGTTATTCTCAATCCCTGCTACTGGGTTGATATTCTACTTAAAATCAATAAAATGAGGTGGTAGAAACACTACCACATTTGTCCACAGGGGGCACCAGAATCAACCCAAATTCAAGTCCACTGCTTACTTGTATAATAATAATAATACCACATGTAAATTGGATGCTAATATCTGGTGGCAGGAAATCTTATTTACTTTTTTAATCCGGACGTGCAGCCAGTTTATCAGAGACAGTCACATAACGAGGTTGCACTGTGAGTGTGTCATTCAGTCCCTCGACATGGATTCCCTCCAAAATGAAACTCTGGCATGTGTTATGACTGCATCCTTGCTCACAGGAAAGGACGAATTGGAATTAGAGAGTTGTGAGCGTCTCCGTCCAGAGAAGGCTGGACTCATCCAGCGTCAGATGTGTTGCCCCTGCGCTTCCTGGGGGTTTCCTTTTGGTTTAAAGCCTCAGAGTTTGGATGGGACAGCAAACACGAGCGTGCTGTGTTCGCTTTTACTTGATGTCACCTTGCTGGATTTCTGGGGATTGATGTTTCTCAAAAGTTACCTCTCACTAGAGTCTGGAGCTGCCAGTATGTGAAGATCAGAAATACAGCTTTTTGGAAAATGAACTTGATTTCATTTTTGAAAGTGTTGGATTATAACCATGTAATTTACAATTCTTACCAAAGCGATTTGCTTATTTCAAGAAAAAGCATAATTTTTCTAAGGTGCCCTTTCTTATAATTTAACCACTTTGCAGCATTAAGTCTGACGGCTCCGCAGCGCCACACTGCTGCTTTTGGGATTGGTTTTCTCCACGAGGCGTTTGATAAAGAAGGAAAGCTTTATCTGCATCCAGAGGCCTGACCTCGGTGGGTTGCGGACTGATCCTGCAGCTCTGCTTCCTCCCAGACAGCCGATGATAATCTGTCCACTCCTCGGGTGGCCTGAGCGAAAGCAGGAGCTGGCTGTCAGATCAAACAAACACTCTCCTCGCTTCCCTCCCCACTTTTCTTGGAAAATAAATAATTTTTTTTAGCTTTGTTGCCAAAAATTCACAGGTAGAGAACAGTGGTTAAACCGGGGGGCCGGGTGGAGTTGCAGGTTTGGTAATCACACAATCTGTAAGTGGCATTGGCTTGTTTTTCTTGATCTGTTGGAGGAGTTGAGCACATCTTTCTTTTGGCCGCCAGTGCACTTGCTATATTTGCAATCCCAGAGGCAGGATTTTATGGGATTGCATCTACGGATGTCCACACTTGGCCTCAAAATGATTGGCTGTCGCTCTGTTTATTTAATACCGGACTAGGCAGGCTTTTCATGTATAATTATGCCCATTAGATCAAACTAAATCCCAAACTGGCACTGCAGAACGAAAGATGGTTCCAGCCTTCACTAATTGAGACAGATTTGTAGATTTGCTCTGTGTGTTGGAATTAAATTTGGTGTCTGTTTGGGCATGTTCACCCACAGGAAAAGGTCTCAGCGAGTTAGCACTCCATCCAATGTTAAACCATTAGTGTTGCTTGGTTTTTAAGCAATTATATCTCGTAAAATGAGTAAATAAAATAAAACCGTTTGCTCAGTTGTCATGGAAATGTCCATAGTTGAATTAACATTTTGGCTGAGCATTTTTGGGACTTTTTCAGGCATCTAAATCTCTGCTCACTTCTCCAAATCATTTCAAGTATTCCTAGTGTTGGCCTCCTGGCCCATCAATGGCCATTTTACAATCAGAGCTTTCTACGGTGGATCATTAAGAATTATGACGTCATCTTCACCTCTGCACTGCTAACTAGATATCCTAGCTATAAAAAACAAACATTGACCCGGTAATCAGGCTACTTCTTGTTGGGTACAAAGTTACTGAAATCTGCTGATGAAGGTCATGTGCTATGAACGGAAAGGTCCAGATCGGCTATTTTAAAGTCAGATTCTTCTTCCTTTTGTTGTTAGAGCCTGATTCCATATCTGACAATGATGTGTTAGCCTATTTTTGTTTGTATATCTTTGGTAAAGTTCGCTTAAATCTGTTTTTTTTAATCAGTATGAACAAGATTTGAACTTATCACTACTCTTTGGTGGATAAACTATGTACTGTAACAGCCACATTGTTTTCTAAATTACAAACATATTGTTGACACTCCTCTAGTGCAGTAAGTCTAATTTTGAGGATGATGTAAATTTCACCAATTACTGACAAGAACAATCTCACCACAAGGTCCATTTAGTAGTTGTTCTGGAGCTCTTGATCACATCTTCCTGGTTTGTTGCCTTTATTATGAAAGTTCCTTATTTCTGAACACTTTAATGACTTCCGATCAGCACTGGGACAAATGGTCGGGTTTATTTTCAATCTCAGTTTTAAAGCCAATATTGAGCCAGTTGAAAGCTGCAGAACTTCTAAATGGACCTTGTGGAGAGATTGTTTTGTCAGCCAAGGTCAAAAATGAACTTTGAACTTCACCAATTGACGGCCAAGTCAGTAATCCTCTTTCTCTTTGATCAGATGTGACCACACAGCTTTGAGGCGGCAGAGTTCAGAATGAGGGAGCAAAGGGCGTTTGGAGGGGACTGATAGAGACAAAGAGAATATTCATGGGCCTTTGTACTGTACTGTATGTGTGACAGCATGTTAAAGCTGCCATGATTATGAGCTCTGGAGGCATATGACCCAAACCCCCAGACTCGAAGGCTGGATTTGCATATGTCGTTTCTCTTTTTAGAAGTTCATTCACGGTTTTGTCTCCGTCCTCCCCTTTTTAAAAGTTTGATATATGTCGTTCTTTCCGTTCTCTCGTCCCTCAGTCGAGCCGGTCGTAGTCCTTGGGCGGCTTCGGTTTTGTGCGTCTGGTGCTGTCAGCGTGTCTGTTGGCCTGTTGATTGAAACACGCCCGGAGTCTGACTCTGCTGCCTGACTGTAGACACACGATGCCAAGCGGCTGATTTATGACCTCTGTAGCACACCGACGCTCCTGCTGTGAAACTGCTCTCCCATCTGCTTGCATTTGAAGAGCACTAGAGTTTTGTTGTTTTTGCACAGGGGAGTTGGTGTATTCGTTCGACATTGACCCTGTAAAACTGGATTCTTTTCCCCCTGATGCCGGAGGCTGTGCGGCTCTCACTTGCTGAGTTTGCATTGTGCTCTTCATTGACTGTGCTCTGGATCCTCGTTTCCTCCCATTGACTGTGTCTTTGTCTGGTCCTTTACGACCATCTCATCGGATGTCACTGGCATTGATTAACTCCGCGGGCCTCATCAGAGCTTGTTATCCTGTCAATTTGCCCACCAACTGCTCAAGTCATTAACATTTAGGTTACCGTGCAAAATGCTACACCAGGTGTTACTGTAGCATCGTTTCACTCACCAGAGTCCATCCACACCTGTGCTGCTGTCAGAGAACAGAGTGTGATGTGTAAATGTGATGGAAAGATGCAGCGAAACCAAAACACTTTCAAGTCTGTTATTTCTTTGGCAGCTGTGAGAGATTATTTATTAAAGTCTGCACAAGCCAAGATTGTAAGGATGTAAAAAGGCTGCTTCATACAAATAATACACTTAAACAGCTTTGTAACATCGACTGCGGACAAATATCGATGCCGTATCCGTGGCGTCGCCTTGAGACCTCAGTGAGGACTTTCTGAAGTTTACACTCATTTTGTCAGCCGCTTCAGGCAGAAATTCAAAATTTGGCTGAACTAAAGCTGAGCGAGTGGCAACCACCAGGACTGAGGGTGATAGACGGAGACAGCTGTCAGTAAAGCCGACACGACACCAAACGTAACCCTCTTTAAGCATTAATGTGTACTTCATGGAACCGTGGTTGTCAAAGTCAGCACCAAGACACTCATCAGAAGAGGGGAAATTGGTAAATAAAGCTCATTATGTAGATAATTCATTGACCTTGTATTTTCTAGAATACGAGATATGAGTTTGAAGGCTTATAATTGATTCCCGAGCAATATACACAATAACATACATTTAGTATGTTATTCAAGTTTAGCAATGTAATATTCTATCATGAATCTAAGAGCAACATACTAAAATGTTGCAGTAGCGGTTCAACTAAGGATTATTTTATAGATTAACCTGTTGAATTATTTATCAGTTAATAGATTAAATCAGGTTTCCAGATCTTAATGTGACGTCATCAGATGTCTTTTGTCTGGTCCAAAAACCGCAAACAGCAAAAAGAAGTGAAACCTCTCATTAGAAAAGCTGGAACCTGAGAAATGATTACCCACAAATGCTTGCATGTTAAATTAATTATCCAAATTCTTGCCAACGACTACCTGATGGATCATTTTATCAGTAGTTGTCTTTAACTGCGTCCTTTAACTCCATTAAGCTTGGTGCAGATTCCTTGACTGTGATCAGATTTGTGAACCTTTCAGCTCTTCCTCAGTGGCTTTAACACTCAGATGTGGTGATTCCCCTTTGGTCTTTTAATGAGCTTCCTCTGACAGCTCCAGTAATGAATTCATCTGACACAATGGCTTCATGTGTCACAGCGTGTAAAGAGGAAACTACTGGTTTAAAAACTGAAGGAAATCTATTTGCATAATATCAACATGTTTCCTAACCCCAGCGGGCAGGAAGGACAGCATGTCCTCTGTCTGTACTGAGGTTTAGATGTTTCTTTAATGTCGGCTGTGTGTTGTTGACCACTACCATAACAGCTCTCTGTCAGCTGAAGGTCTGACAGCTTTGTGGAAACCAATTGCTTTCTGTTTTTTTTTACCTGCGGCTTTTCGATCGGCCCCGTCCAGTGGCAGAATCGGCTCAGAAAGGGAGTATTGTGAAGCTGAACCAATTTCATTAGAGGTAGCTTGAAAGAATGAGCGGAAGGCCGTCGGGGATCTCTGCTTGAACACAGGTAGGCTGTCACATGTTTGGCCTCAGGAGACTCTGCTGAAGGTCAGGCGTGTCCGCTGTGTACAGTATGTGCGTCTGTGCGTTTTTATGTTTGACATTTGTCTTTTTTCCTTCTTGTTCTCTCCGCTGCAGGGCTCTTGTATCTTGCAACATGTGAGTGAATGTGTGCAGAGGTTCAAAGAGGGAGACGAGAGAGTAGCATTGGAGATGGAGAGGGAGGTAATCACAGGTTTGTCAGTGATGGTGTGTGTTTGATGTCTGTGCAGGTCGGAGGGCACCGTTGTTCAGCTGATGTGGAGGTAGAGACGATCACATGAGGCTCTCCAGGTCTGTTCTTTATTTCTTTCTTCCACCCACGGTCCTGCTCACACTAAACCCATAACAATGCTGTTTGTGTGAACCTCTTCCTCCGGTCGACTGCAGTCTAACATTGTTCTCATATTGGCTGTTAATTGACGTCTTTATCAGTCCACTCACGAGCTGTAGTGTCAATTTTAACAGAATATGTCGATATAAAAGTTGGTATTCCAGTAAGTCGAGCTATGACAACCCACATGGCTGTGTTGACCTTATCCAAGCTTGTCGGGGTTTGCCGTTTTTCTGGCTCTGGCACAGGTTAGATGACGCCAACATCTTTCAAATCCCCTATCGGCTCAGTTTTTTTTCTCCACTGGTCTGGATGTCGTGAATGAGCACAACACCGGATCTATTTGAATCTTTTGAAAGGTCTGTGATTGAAGCAGTAAGCAGGATTCAGACTCTGAAAAGAACAGCTGCTGTTTAGCTTCTTAAATGTTGTTCTTGTGACATTTTATTGTAGTTATTTTGGGGTTTAGTCTGTAAATGTCCATCACAAACTCAGAGAACTAAAGGTGACATCTTCAAATGTTTTCAAAAACAAAGGTACAATCATATACAACAGAGAAAAGCAGCAAATCTTCACACCAGAAAATCAGTTAATGAAAGTTGTTTGCTGTCCATCAACTAATTGATTGATCGTCTAATTGTTTCGGTAATTAAAACTGACCCTTTAAGACTAGATGATAGCAACATATCTAACTGCACTACATGAGACTAATGCAGAAATGATTACTCAATTGTTTAAACTATTGAGTTAATCTATTAACAGATAATTAGTTGACCTCAACTTTAATAATCGATCATCAGTCGATTGTTTGCTCCTTTTCTGTGTTATATATCATGGAATTGGATATTTGGGGGTTTTAGACTGCTGGTTGGACCCATTTTTGTGTATAAGACAAATGGTTAATTCATTAAAATCAACATATTAATTGATATAGAAAACAATGCTGCTGGAGACGTGCTGCAGAGGATGCAGAGGATGAAACCGCAGCCTCAGATGACCTCTGCGTGCTCACAGATCAGCGCTCTGATTCCCTGTCAACCTCGGGCTAATGAACAACACCTGACGCTGCGACAACTGCACGCACACACACACACACACACACACACACACATATACAAACCCACACCATCCAGCTTTAATCCTGACAAATTGCCACCAACGGGTACTGTAGAGTCCCTTTTTCGAAAGCCCTTTTATCTGCCTCGCCTGCCCATCCACCGTCTACAGAAGCTCTCAGATTCATTCTCCAATCTATATCCAACCCAACAGGCCCCATTATCTTAAGTGAGTGTCGATAGGATGCTGAGAGGCGCACTCTTTTTTTTCTTCTTCGTATACAAATGAGCTGCGGGAGTCATTTCGGAGCTGCGCTGTGTGTGTATGCGTGTTCCGACTTGTAACCCGGCTCGTGGAAGAACTGATGAATAACTGGCCTCGGTAATCTGCTGCAAATATGCATATGCGTGTGTGTGTGTGTGTGTCAGTGCTGCAGGGCTTTGATGTCGGAGCTTCTGTTGTCATCCCTCATGTCGTTACCGGCATCACAGGGTCCCGCTCAGCTGTCAGACGCACCAACGCCACGCTCCCTTTTTAAAGACTGCGAGCTTGCCAGCCAGGGATAAGACATGTAGGAATATCAAAGCCTATTTATTTGGCAACATCTGGGGACATTTTCTGGAGAATGACTGCAAGAGAAACTATCGAAGGCTGTCCTTTTAAAAGTGGGAATTAGCAAGCCAAGGTTCCTCCACAGAGAATTGAGCTCAAAGCTGCTTTAGAGTCCCCATACATCAGCAAGGACTGGGCTCTTGTTTCCAAACCACCCCGGTGTTTTCACTTCACTTTCCTCTGGAGAAAGAGCAGAGGCTTTAAGGCTGTGTTGGTGTGTTTTTTGTTTGTGTAGAGACTGAGAGCATATGGTGAGAATAATCACACCTACAGCTCCTTATGTTGGGTCTGAACTTTTTGTGGAAAACTTTTGCATTAAGATTTGGTTGGCTTACACTGCTGATGTGAGTTCTTTATTGTTAGATTATGAATGAGATTCAGGCACTTTTTTTATCCAGAGGGACTTCTCCTAAACACACACACCTGGAGCAGCTCAGTCTCTGCTCGAGGACACGTGGAGGAGGAGGAGGAGGAGGAGGAGGAGGAGGAGGATGGGATTCAACCACCAGTCTGTAGCGATGGCCGACCTGCTTATCAACTGAACTACAACGCCTACAGACAACTGTTCATTTGAATTCATTTCCTTTCTCTCTTTTTTTGTCTGGATTATTTACACTATGAACAGTTGACATCTGGGGCCTGTTTCACTAAAGTTGCGTGAGATAATTTCCGCTCCAGTTTATTTTGAAACGTTAAACGAATTAAAACGCACGCAATAACTGCAGCCCATGCATGAGCAATCTTTTTTTTTATAAAAGTGAGAGTCCTGGACTGTAGGCTGGAATTGTAGCTTTCCTGGGTTCAGATTTGAAGGATTTTGTGGGAATATTATGATTGGTTCGTTTAGAGTTCTAAGTATTATTAATCCTGAATTTGAAAAAGACTTGATGCTGTGACAACCTAATTTGAGTATCGTGCAGCGGTACTCCATCCAACAGGGTTAGTAGTCCAGATCTGTCACTCTAAAAAGTGTTGAATGAACTCTGGCAATAATTCATCATCCCTGCTTAGCCTCAATATGAGCACAGTTAAACATGTCTTTAAAAAAACGGACCATAATTCTTCAGTATTCCCTCATTTTCCAGTCATAACTGAACTGAGAATAACTTTTAGCTACAGGTTTGACCTCAATGTGGCATTATTTCTAGTAATTCAAGTATTTTTTGTTATTTATTTGAAGCAAAGTGCCACAAATATGCATTCCAGCTTCACAAAAGTGAAGATTTGCTGCTTTCCTCTGTTTGCAGTTACTGTAAATTGAATATCTTCATGTTTTTCACTGTTGATTAGACAAAACAAACAATTTGAAGGAGTCACTCAGGACTTTCTGACATTGTATAACAATACAGTGGGGCTGGTGGTGTAAATGTGAACTTTACAGGGTTGACAAAAGGCACGGACACACCTGATGACTTGCAGATATAAAAGGAAACTGTTCAGTCCAAATCTGCCAGGTGTATTTAGATTTTTTTAGGTGAAACGCCATCCTGCCCAGACGTTTTGACAACATTATGTTTCTTAGACGATCTGGCATCTTGGGTGACGTCAGACAAACATACAATCCTTGTATGAGAGTATTCATACATCAGTTTGAGGGCCGTGAAACTGATGTGAGTTTGGCCTTGAATTATGGGAGAAACCCTAGAAAAACTGGAATGCTGGCAGGTATTTTTATAGACTAAACAATGAATCCAAAAAATAATAAACAGATTAAAATGGCCAATAATGGAAACAATAGTTGGCTGCAGCCCCACATGATAACAGTATGGATAGTACTGCAGTACAGTGCCAGATAAAGATTATACACTGTTGATCATTACGAATTGTTTTTATTAAATATTGTAGCTATTATTAGTTCAAATATATCTGATTCAAACAATTAACAACGAAATGGCCTATATCTCAGCATTTGGTAGTAAATTGTCTAATAGAACAATGATCAAGCATCAGTGACATCAAAAACAGTGAATATGGCAAGAAAGCATTTTATTTAGTCTGTATGATTGTTAAAAATATTAAAAAAAATACATAATACAGACAGAGAATTGTATAAAAAGTTGCCTAAACATGAAAAAAATCTGCTCAAAAATCATCTAAATCACATGTTTTACACAAACTTCCTGCAGTTACTGAGTTCAAAAATAAGAAAATAACCATAAAATATGTCACTTAGTCAGTTTACTAAATGATAGAATGATAGGAGAAAAAAAAAGGAGGAAAAAGGTTCGGAACCACTTAAATAATTCACTCTCAAGCAAATATTGTTGGACTGACGAATCCATTCACCTTTTACTCTTAAAAGCAGACGTTAATTCACTCGTTTTCCATCTTGTGCTGATCCCAGCAGAAGTGAGGAATGTAAATGGGTGTGAGGCTCCCCAGCCAGCACCTATATAGTATCAGTATGTGGTCCTTCCTGATGGATTTGTCTCAGTCCGTCAGAGGGGGAGGACCTGACCTGTGACTCGGCAGCTACACGCCAATCAGTGTATCGACCCATTTGTGTTTTCGCCAGCTGGAGGTGTCCACGCTGACATCGGTCTCGGTGAAATATTTCTCTCCTTGGCTGAGCGTCAAATGCGTCCTCAGCCTCGGCGCTGTCTGTCTCACTAAAAGAGATGAACAGGGAGCGAGGGAGAGAGGGGGAGAGGGGGAGGGAGGGTGTGAAAATAGCCGATGGAAGACATCACGGCCATTTCTCAAACTCAGAACTGTAGTAGCAGGTGGCCCGGCAGCCGGCAACCTCACTCCTTGGCTCTGCAGTTTACAGCACATACAGAAATGACTCCAAATACTTCCTTTACCTTCGTTCTTCCAGGCTTTTATCATCAACGTTGCCAGTTAGCCATTCATGTTCTCCTTTTTATATAACAGCCTGTTTGAGGTTGTTCTTTCAGGGACACTACAGCTGTTACTTCATGATTTCTGCTATCTATACTGCCGTTTCCACAAGTTTTTCTTGTTTTTGGGATTTCAATTTGTGCTTTAAATAGAGGGATTAAATATGCTTAATTGGTTTGTACTCAAAGGATTTAGGATTATAGTAAAAAAAAGTATTTCATTTCATTGAAAGTTTTCTGGAAGGAGAGCTAAACTGGCACATTGTGCAACTAAAAGAGACAAGGAGAACCACTGATTGATAGTTATGGTACAGTCTGTGGAGCAATGTCATTGATAATTAGGGGTTGTGTAATAATAATACTAATGATTGTCTGAAAAATGAATTCAGAAGGACATTTTGAGATTTCCATTTGAGCCAGTTTGCTGCTTGATCTTGATCAGTTTAACTTTA